AGCAGCAGCAGCAACAGCAGCAGCAGCAGCAGCAGCAGCAACAGCAGCAGCAGCAGCAACAGCAACAGCAGCAGCAGCAACAACAGCAGCAGCAGCAACAACAGCAGCAGCAGCAACAGCAACAGCAACAGCAACAGCACCAGCAGAAGCAGCAGCAGCAGCAACAGCAGCAACAGCAGCAGCTGCAGCAGCAGCAGCAACAGCAGCAGCAGCAGCAGCAACAGCAGCAGCAGCAACAGCAGCAAGATGCCTTTCTTACTGCCGCGTATTGCCACCCAGGAGAAAGAGACAGGGAAGGCCTAAGCTGCAGATACACCCAAATGCAGCAGCAGCAGCAGCACATAGCAGCAGCAACTCGCAATTCCCCTTCTGCTGCTGCTGCTGCTGCTGCTGATGGCTTGCTGCTGCTGCTGGTGCTGCTGTTGTGCTGCTGCTTCCCTGCAGCAGCAGCTGAAGAGAGCAGCAGCAAAGCAGCAGCAGCAGCAAAGCAGCAGCAGCAGCGCTAACCAACATGACGCGTGTAAATCACCATTATCATCATCAGCAGCAGCAGCAGCAAGACCAGCAGCAGCAGCAGCAGCAGCAAGACCAGCAGCAGCAGCAGCAGCAGCAGCAGCAGCAGCAGCAGCAGCAAACCTGATAGAAACAAGAGGAACGTGGTTGTTTATCTCTGCGTCGTCGCGGTGACCCCGCAGCCTCTCCCCCCCCCGATAGACATTCACTAGCGCTGTCTGCATGCATGCAACACACAGCAACCACTGCTGCTGCTGCTGCTGCTGTTGCTGCTGCTGCTGTTGCTGCTGCTGCTGCTGTTGCTGTTGCCAAAGCTACCGGTAGTCTGGCTTGCTGCTGCTGGTGCTGCTGCTGCTGCTGCTGCTGACCCACCTGAATCTTCGCAGCTAACTCTGCTGCAGCAGAAGCTGCAGCAGCAGCAGCAGCAGCAGCAGCAGGTTGCTGCTGTAGGTATATTGTCTGCAGGGCCCAACCAGAGATCCGATGCAGTGCAGGGGGCAACGGCGGACTGCTGCTGCTGCTGCTGTT